TTATGCACCGAAAGAAAGAAAAATATAGAAAAAGTTTCTTCCTAGTAGTATACTCGTTCGATCGTCATTTTCTTTCCATGACGTTAGTATGTAGATAAATAAATTTTCCCTCGGACTCTTTTATTCTTCTTCTCATAAACAGGGGTGTCCCGATGGGGGGGCGTGGGGGGCGCGACGCCCCCCCAATAATTGAAAAGTATCGAATTAAAAAAATAATCCACCATTTTGTTATTTTAGGAAAAAATCCTTTTCCGATACATTTTTGAAATAAAATCGTGTCAAAAACGTAAAACAAGCGATCTATGTTAACGTCACCATGCACTAAGCCGTAATAAATGTTCTGTAGATGTCATACTATAAATAGAATCAAATTGAGATAAGATAAAGTAAAATAAGATAGATAGATAGATGTAATTTTATGCTTACGCATTCGTTCTATCGAATAACCAATGATTTTAGATTGTGATTTTTAATAAATATTCATCAATCTGTATTTTCCTTATATGACGTGAAAAATGTTTCGTCTTTCATCAACGATGATTACAAAGAATTAAGAAAATGTTTGACTGCGTAGTATTGCGTCATCGCGCCTTTTTTCACCATCTGAAATTTATGCATGATATTATGTTGTAGATAAAATACTTGACTGTAAAGTGTAAATACAGCCATTCATTCCAATTCATCCATGTCAAAGTGTACCAGTCCCAGCAATAAAAGAGCCGTTCCTCATGAAAGAAGTGTCGAAGGTATCACAAAATATTTCAAACCATTGAACGAACTTATCAATCAATTAGTTCCAACATCACTATCATCATCGTCATCAAAATCATCTCCATCAACCACACCAACTACACCTAAAACATCTTCAAGAACATCAACTACACCTGAAACATCTTCATCAAGAACATCAACTACAGCTAAAACATCTTCATCAAGAACACCAACAACATCCAGAGCATCTTCATCAAGAACATCAACTACAGCTAAAACATCTTCAAGAACATCAACTACACCTCAAACATCTTCATCAAGAACATCAACTACACCTAAAACATCTTCAAGAACATCAACTACACCTCAAACATCTTCATCAAGAACACCAACAACATGCAGAGCATCTTCATCAAAAACACCAACAACATCCAGAACATCTTCATCAACAACACCAACAACATCTGGGACATCAAAAGTTCAATCAATTCATGTCAACGATGTTCCAGCAAATAATACATCTGAATCTTTAATATCCGTCGTCAACACTTCATCATTACTTGATAAAATTTCGCATTTGTCAATGAACAGCGACAAAGCAACATTATGTAATTCTTTCCAAAACATTGCGATTACAAGTACAGATTCAATTTCATCAAATGAACCTGATGAATCTCTTGTGTTTTTCGAATCAAATGCTGATATCCAATCATCTGATGATCCTGAACATAATCAAAGTGAGTGTACGAACTTATGTTCATCGTTGAACCGTTATCTATAGATTTGCCAACATTATTTTATCTTTTATATTTCTTCAGTTCAACATGCTACACCTGAAAATAGTGAAATAAATCAACGAGATATGTTAGCCACGTATCTATTTCAAATTGAATTTCACCTAAAATCTTGTCAGAATTTAATCAAAGATTCTACTCGAAATGATATTTCACATAAAGAATTTGTTGAAAAGACTCGATCGTTTGTTTTTGAATTAAAAACTATTCTTGATTCACTTGATACAACTTGTCATGAACAAATTGAGAAAATGAATGCTCAGTTTTCTAATGTTGAATTTGTATGTCGAAAATCAAATGATGCTATATCAAGAGATCCTGGTAAGTAAATTATTATTGCTGACAAATTTGAACATTATTTTTTAAAGCTTACTGGCCTACCAATGGAAAATTTACTGAAGAAGAGCTTCGATATCTAATTCATAAAGGTCCAATGCAACCGGTATTAAACGACTATCCAAAAAACTTGTCGTTAGTTGCACAAAAAACAACGTGCAAATTTGTTCCAAAATGGTTCAATGAATATCCGATGTTGGAATATAGTGAATCAATTGATAGAGCATTTTGTTTTGCGTGTCGTTTGTTCCATAAAGGTATATGATCGATCTATGAATATAGTTTAATCATTTTTCTGTAGGTCCTGGTTCTGAAAAAGCTGATCTTGCTTGGATTAAAACAGGACTTCAATCTTGGTCAAAAATGAAAGGGAAAGGAAAAGGAAAAAAAGGTATTATGTTCAATTGACTCTTTTAAATCTGAAAAATCTTGTTCTTGTCTAGGAAAATTGGAACAACATTTCACATCATCTAGCCACATGTCATCGATGTATCGTTTATCTGTTTTCAAAAACAAACATTTAAATGTCGAACATTTAATAGATGCAAATCATAGACTTGCAAGTCAAAAAGAAGAATCAATCTTTCAAATAAATAAAAAAATTATTGAAACATTCTTCGACTGTACATTATTTTTGGCTAAACAAGGTCTTGCATTTCATCGTGATCCTCAAGAACATGGTACTTCTATTATCTATATAATATTTCATTTTATTAGTCTTTTTTCTTACAGGTAATTTTATTCAACTTATTAATTTATTATGTCGTCATAATCCACTACTGAATTCATGGTTTAATGACAATAAATTTAAAAGTCATCATGTAAGTGTTATATATACTCAATCCCTATATCTATATAAATAAAAGCTCACTATACCAATTCGAAGAAATCCTACTTAAATCTGCACTACATTGCCCTATTAGATTCACTGATTATATTGAGCATAAAACTGTTTTTCTTTAAAGTTCTGCTAATATTTGTTCAAATTATTCTGCTAAATTGTTTTTCAGGTAACCTACAGGAGTGCTCGTAGTCAAGATGAATTTATAGAACAGATTGGTACTTATCTTATTCGTTTAATTGTTCAACAAGTGCAGAATGCACCCTTTTACTCGGTTATGATAGACTCTACTCCTGATTGTAGTCATCGAGAAATTTATTCATTAGTTATTCGATATGTTGATAATGATTTGAATATATATGAACGTGTTATTGCTTTGAAAGAATTGCCCACAAAAACTGGTCAAGCTATATGTGACTTTATTCTCACTATACTTCACGATTACCAAATTTCAACTGATTGCTTAGTTGGTCAATGTTATGATAATGCACCTAGTATGTCAGGTTGTAGACGTGGAGTTCAAAATTGTATGAAAATTGCACTTAAACGTGATATTATTCATGTACCATGTGGTGGTCATTCAGCAAATCTTGGTGTAAAACATGGTTGTGAATGTTCAACTGAATACATTCGTTTTTTCAATTTAATCGAAGAAATCTATGATTTCCTCACTAGCAGTATCAATCGTTATCATAAATTTCGAACTCAAATTAATTCATCAACATCAGCTGTAACCGTAAAAAACTTATCAATCACCCGATGGTCCGCTAACTATGAATCGATTAATGCTATTTGTCGTTCATTACCAGAAATTATCAATACATTTGATTTAATAATTAGTCATATTGATGATAAAGTTAATACAAATGAAAAAATTACACCAGATGATCGAAAAACAAAAGAACAAGTAAATATTCCAGCTCTTGATTGATTCTTTGATGAAGGCTTTTGTTTCAGAGCATTAATTTACAAAAAGCTATTTTGTCATTTGAATTCAATTTGTTATTAAATTTTCTAAATCAAGTAACAAGACAAACTCAAAGTCTCACCGATCATCTGCAAAAGAAATCTCTTGATCTTGTTACTGCATCTCATCTTCTTTTTAATACAAATAAAGTGTTAATGGAATGGAGGAATGACGATTTATTTTTACAAAATCTTATTAAGGTAAATCGATAATTACAAATAAAACATTTCGAAAACAAATAGATGCTTCGACATGCAGCTTTTAGAGAAATTGAATTTAAATTTATAAAAATATTCATACTTAATCCTCGAAACAGACTAGTTATCAACCTAATTAACTAAAGTTGAGCAGTATGGTACTTTTGAATAATATTTGAAGATATCCATCATAGCAACATCATTTTCTATTATTCTTGTATTTTAGGAATGTGATGATCAAGCATTACGTAATGGTGTTGATATTGAAAATGAATTTGCTCGACATCATCATCAACGACCACGTTCTGTGAAGATTGATTCGAATTCTAAAACTGGTATTCATTTGAATCGGTACAGTGATTCATGAAGTTGTTGTTCTCTTTTGTCTATAGTTCGTTTGTTTTAGTATTGAATATTACGCGAAGTTAATGCGTGAAATTTTGGATTATTTAATTGTTTCATTATCTGAATACTACAAGCTAATTGAAGAAAAACTTCAACATTTCTGTAATATCTTTCCTGGTCGTGTAAATCAATTAACTCTTGAAAATGCTAAGAAAATTTGTGAAATTGTACCCGGTATTTTGAGTCCTGAACTCTTATACTCAGAATTACAGCTGTTGAAAAATGATATTGATAGTTATACTGAAATGACCGAACTTATCAATAAAATTAAAATAATTCGACATGGATATCCAAATGCTGCACGTATTTATCAATTTCTTCTTGCATTACCAATAACTGTGCGACAAATGAACGTTGTTTTTCGAAATTAAAATTGTTTAAAAACAAGTTACGGTCTACATTAATGCCTGACAAAATGGAATGGTTGATAATTTCTTCAGCAGAAAGAGATTTATTAGAAAATGCTGATTTATCAAGTTTTGCTGAAGAATGGTCCCATTTAAAGAATAGAAGAGTGAAACTTGTGTGAAATTTGTAGTTTTTTTACGCTAATTCGAATGCATTACGAACTGAACTTGTCTTTATTGGTTTATTTTTGAAAAAAAATGCTCGAACAGACATTCATATAATAAACTTATGAAATATCTTAAGAAAATAAAGTTATATAGTTTACGTATGATTTTCTAAAAAACGCCCCCCCAATCTTTGGATGCTCGGGACACCCCTGGGTTTAATGAACAATTTTTGTTCGTAGATCAGATTTCAAAACTTTTGATTATAGGCCTAAAGACAATTTTTAAAATTATGGTAAAGAACAATTGAATTCCCCCCCCCCCCCCCCTTTTATTTTAATTTTCTGATTTTATTGTGATAGTACACAAATCAAGTGTAATGCAATGTTCTATCAACAAATATAACTGATATCATAAAAAATAGATGCCGATTATTTTGTTTTATATAAAATTGGAACAGATTCAATTCTCAATCATTTCATGTTTCTTTGTCACCTATGTTAATATGCATACCATCACATCCTTTTTTTTCTGATCTACGCTTTTCTTTATGTCTTTCTAAGTTTTTATTTATTAATTAAGAATTGAATATGTTTCATATTTGTGGGCTTCTGTTTCGTATGCGTAAAGAATAAATTTGTAATATCAATCTGTACCGAATTTCGTCGCAAATTGTGTGTGTCTATAATTCGAAAAAGTTTTTCTATAAGTTTATCTAAATTAGGCCTGCGCTGATAAGAAAACTTTTGGTTGAAACTCGAAAACATATTTTTATTGGAAATTTAAGGTTCTCTAGCAAAAAATCTACTAAAAACTCGATCTTTCAGCTAAATAACAACTTTCATCCATACCTCTTAGAAGTGACGCAATGCACTAAAAGTAAGGTTAAAAACTTTTTTAGCATCTCAGAAATTTTCCACATTGGCTATTCATAATTCAGAAGATTGAATTCCAATAGAGCTAAGTTCCGATGTCATTTGATGATAACAATGGATCTAGGGTATGGGTGTGGGTGTAGGTGTGGGTGTGGGTGTGGGTGTGGGTGTGGGGTGTGAGTGTGAGTGTGGGTGTGGGTGGGTGTGGGTGTGGGTGTCAAAATTTACTATTTCTCATTTCCAACACCAACACCTACACCCACACTCCACATCCACCCACACCCACACCCCACACCCACACCTACACCCACACCCATACCCACACCCACACTCACACCCTTATGTATTGTGTGTTTAAAATGGAAGGAAAGTTGAAGTTAACAGATTTCAAATAAATTCAGAAGAGATTTGTTTGGAAATGAGAAGATCTTTAAATTTTAATCTCACAAAACTTGCTTTACAAAATATGAAAAAAGCGCTCCTTTATATAGTATCTTTCAAATGGTGAAAAATCCACACCTATCGTTATCTACTGTTTACTTGAAACTGAAGTAAAGTGAAAGTCGAAAGTCGATAAAAGTCACTTATCTTTGCATTCGTTATCAGTAAACGGAAAAAAACTTTGTCGAGAACGGCAGTTACACGAAAACCCTAAAAAAGGATAAAATTTTATCTTTTTCGTAAACGAGAGTGACGGTTTCCTGAGGGTGACCTTCGAAGAATAGATTCAAAGCATCATACGACGCGTTTCAATTTTATGTTGCAAGCATTTCGAGACACTCGGTATTTGTTTTACATTCTCTCGCAAATGAAGATTTGTTCATGTTTACTATCGTTGCTCTTCTATCACTCTTCTGTATAAATCGGTTGAAAGCATCCTCAAACGGTCGAAACTTCCACTATATTTGTTGCAATCTATTAACAAAGATGATAATGCTGGTACTTGGATGAAACATAAGTGATTGAAGAAGGAGAAAGACGACATTCTTTGAATGACCTGACGATTTTGCGCAGCTCTTCGATCCGCCCACCAAAATTTGTCATAATTCATTCAAGTTTTTAGGTACTGAAAGATGTAAAAACGAGTCGAGATTTCCTTGGAAACAAAGTATTTTTTTGAATTCTGAGAGTTGTAATGGTTTTACACAACAATTCCATATAAATAAAATAAAGTTTATATCATGCATGTCGAGCAATTCCTAAACCTCTACAATAACGATGGAAAGATGAAAATCAAAAAGAAGATATCCGAATGCTATTTTGATAGTTCAGAGTACTGGATAGATTTCCGAAATTTTTTCTCAGAAACGCAAGAATTGTCCGAAGACTCGGAAACCCTTCAGGATTTTCGAGACATGTTCTGAAACCATGCTTGATTTCTCGGAAACGCTTCCACCGGTTCCGGTGCCCGGAAACCCAAAAAGGTTTTCGATAAAAAAATATCGAAAACGCAAAGGTTTTCGAGAAGGTTTTTAAATAAAAAAGCGGTTTTCAAAAATAGCACCAGGGTTTCTGAGAATACGGTTGAGGGTTTTCGGACCTATCCATCGAAATCCCATACGTTTCCGGATGCTCGAAAACCCAGAGGGTATTTTCAAAAACTTAACATGAGTCCGGAAACCTTTTCGGATACGTTTATGGGTTTTTGAAAGGGTTTCTGAAGGGGTTTCGATTTCTGAGAAAACGTTTTTTTTAGAGTGTGGTAGCGCAAATTTTTGAAAAAAGCTTTTTCTTCATATTCGAAGATATTTTTATAGTACTATGTAAAGTATCATGTGAACATTCACATTAGACAGAAAATTTTCTAAACAATGCTAATCCCATAAGAATTTCGACCAATTCTTAATTAACTGCATACCAATTATAAATGAATTATAAATCAATTCTACACCAATTCCAGTCAGTTCTTGATCAATCTTGATCCATTCTTGACTAACTTCGACCGATTCTAGATCGACCCTAACCAATTATCGACCAATTCCGACCAATTCGAAACCAATTCCGACCAATTCCAATTCCAATTCCAACCAATTCCAATTCCAATTCCGACCAATTTCAACCAATTCCAGGAATTGGAATTGATTGGAATTGGAATTGGTGCATCCCTAGTTTGAGATCATGTCTCCATCTTTGATATCGACTTATTGTGCATAAA